GGGTGTACATGTTGCTTACCGCTCCTCCTTCCCAGATCTCCCAGGTCACGATCTTTTCGTGACGCTTGTCCCTGCCAGGGGCAACGTCAGGGGGGATGGGGATGGGCTCAGAGGGGACGCATCGACCCCCGATTGCCCACTCATCGCCGATGGGGGCCCGACACCTCGCCCCGCCCAGGGACCTGTGGATTCGTGATCGGGTGCTTACCGCCGAGCTACCGTCGATATATCGCACATTTGAAGGGACCTCTCGGGCTTGTGTCCTGCCCGCGCAATGTCCAAAAATTGGGCAAGGACGCAGCTGAGCACAGGAGGGCGTACAGGCAGCTAAGGAGCTCGGACATGCAGAAGCAAGGTGCGGACGACGCTGCAACACCCTAGGAAAGCAGAGCAGTGACAGCGCGAGCACCAAATCTGCAAGTGGGGGAGCACCATTCCAGGCCGATGTCCCCCCCCCCCCCGAGCCGCTCCTCCCTAACGTTCCCCCTCAAGACCGAAGAGCAGATCTGCCGCACCGGTTTGCTCGCGCGGCGCGCCCCAGGCACGTGCCCTCTCCCTCGAGGTCCGCCAGGGGCCCGGGACCTTTCTGGGGGCCTGGTTTGGCCAGGATTTCTAAGCTGGAGTCGTGGGTCTGGCGCAGACGGGGAGGCGGCGACAGGTGCAATCGCTTCTGCTTTGTGTGCCACTGCGCTCAGCAGTGCGCAGCTATGGCGGGGGGCGCGAACTACTGCACGGCCGAGAGCGGCTGTATGTGGAAGAAGGTTGCGCAGAGGCCTCCGCGCGCACCTGGGGCATCCAGCGCCGAGAGCTACCGCATCCAGGCGCCAGCTGTTGCAAGTGATGCCGCGCCTCTCCCCGCGGACCCAGCTGCGTCAGGCCCACGGCTCTGGCCTCAGGAGGCCCGCGAGGCGGGCACCGTCGTGGCGACGGGAAGCCTCTCCGAGGCCCCCCCCCCGGGAGAGGAGGCAGCGCTCCTCGGGTCTCGGGCCCCGCGCCCGTGCCCCGCCCCCTCGGCTCGCAGACGCCTCGTGGCGTGGGCCCCGCCATTGGGCCTCGGCCACCGCTCTGCCTCGCACGCCTGGGCCTCGGCGCCCTCGCGCATCGCGGCCTGGGCCGCCGAGGCGCTCCTCGGCAGCAGGGCGGCGGCGCGAGGGGCGCGGCGGAGGATCGCGCGCTGCGCACGGCGGGGCGCGAGGCCGGAAGCCTGGTGACGTCTGGTCCCCCCCCCAGAGCTGGCCTCTCTCGTCCTGGGCCGATTTTCGACGGCCCCTGGGGGCCAGGAGAGGCCTCGATGCGAGGCCGAGGGCAGGAGGAGCAGGAGGAGGAGGAGGAGGAGGAGGAGGAGGAGGAGGAGGAGGAGGAGGAGGAGGAGGAGGGTCGAGAGAGCCGCGCCGCGATGCTCTTTCACGCAGCCCGGGTCCCCGGGGGCCTGCTCGCGTCTCCCCGCACCTCCGACGCCGCGCGCACGCGGTGTTTGATCGCAGCGAGGGCCCCCCTTAGAGGTCTGGGCCTCTTCCCCGGGACCGGTCTCTCATCCCGAGCCGTGCTTCGACGGCCCCGCGGACAGCCAACCAGCAGCTTCCCGCTGTGTGGAGGAGGAAGAGGTACCCACACCTCTACCCTTTCCTCGTTCCCCCCTTTTCTGGGCCTCCTCGGAGGCCCTCGTAGCCACCGCTGGATGCGCCTCGAATGCATGGCCAGAACTCACCCTGGGAGAGGTCCGGGGAGTAGCGGAATCGGTACTGTTTGGTTTCCCCGGTTGTGCTTCTCCTCACGCCGAGAGGGTGGGGGTTCGCCCCCCTCTGCCGAAGGACGGGGCCGACTGCGACCACTGCCACCTCTGCACCTGGAGGTGCCAGCTGCGCGTGCGCCGCAGGCCAGCCAAGCGGTCGTGACAGCCTGCCAGGGCGCGACATTTGGTCCGCCGCCATGCGAGGAGAGCGGCCGAGAACCAAACGGCCCGGGGGCGGCCAGGTGCCAGGGATGAGGAGGAAGATCGGCCGGAAGGTGCTGTCTGGGGAGAGCAGCGGGGCGCAGGTGTTGCCTTGTTGCTACAACTTTTCTTGGGCTTTCGGATGTTTTCGGGAGCCGCTGTGGTGTCCTTCAGCTGCGCGGCTCGCCGAGAGCGTTCCGGGGATGGCCGGAATCGCCGATTCTCCACCACCACTACCACAGGTGGGAGAGGGAGGAGGGAGAAGGAGGAGGATTTTTTTTTTGGTCACCTTGGACCTCACCTCCACCCCTCTCAGCCCTTCGCACGAGCCTCCTTGGCAGCTACACGGGCACGGAGGGCATCCAGGCCTGAAAGGGGCGACGCACACGCTGGCGTCTGCTGGGGTCGGGACGCTACAACATGCGCTCGCGCCTCGACCCTCGTGAGCGGAGCCTCGAGCTCCGCGCAAGAAACGGGTACATCGCGCTTCGGGTGCAGGCCTCTCCTGAGCCTTCGAAGCGCAGTGGTGCCTGCACTGCTCCTGTCGCTGTCTCTTAGGGGCCTGAGACAACGTGACAAGAGCATGTGCAGGCGGTGCTGGGCGTAGTAGCCACAGCTCATGCAGAAAAACAGCGGACTTGGTTCGTCCCCGACTTGCGTGCTAGCCAGAACGTGGCCATGTTCTGGCGAGATGGTCAGTAGCTCTTCGACCATCCTAGGGAAGCCCTCGCAGCCCACCGTGGGTCTGTCTTCCAGGGCTCCTGCATAAAACCTGAGGCAACTCGAACACCGATGGCCCCACAGCCAGGTGTCCCAAGTGTGCCAACCCTCGGCACGCTTAAACACTTTCTGCTTCTTGGCCCTTCGAGGAGGCCGAGTGTGGGTGACCCTGGGAAAAAGCGGCAGAACGTCCGCCAAAATCCGCGCCACCGTGTCGATTCTCTCGATCGAGCTCTTCACATCGTCCCACTCGTTTTGGCTAGCTTGTGGGTGCAACAAAATCGCTTGCTTGGCTTCATGATCCGCACGCCTGTTGGCACGACCTATGGACCGCTGAGGCTCTTCTAGCATATCTATCGTGGCAGAGTCCCTGTGTGCTGGGGTCCAGACAGCTGGGGCATACGCATCTCGTTCCATGTGCTGCAGAGCTCCGCGCCTGAGTCCAGCATATTTGTGTTTATGACTCAACTGAGAAACCTTGCTGGCATTGTGAAGCTTGACGGCATTCATACAATCACTGTAGCAGGCTTGCCCATGCTTGGGAACGGAAATCGGGAGCAAGGCCAGCTGAAGTTGCTCTGCTGCCTGGCTCGTCAGAGGAAGGCTCGGCCATACGGGGCATTTTGCAATTGCTACCTGCTCTCCGTCCCTTCCCATGAACACCCATGAAAACGCTGCTCGTGATAGATCTCGAATCTGGTGCGGGAAACACGACCCGTCCCCCGCCACATTCAAATCAGTAGTGTCGAAGCCCGCCCAATCCATTCGCTGACCCTCGGCGCTATACAAGTAAGGCTCGTGCTGGTCGGACAAAGGCGGCATATCTTTGACAGGGTTGACAAACTTTAGACCAGCGTAGAAGTTGTGCTCCCCTTCCCTCGCCCTCTGAAAGAAGCTGTCCTTCACCCCCGTACTAGTCCTAGCCGCCGAAACCTCGGGGCTGGCACAAAAGTAAATCCTATGGGCAACAGAATCTGGCTCCCCGCACAGCGGGCAGCAACCTGTCGAATGATAACCAGCCTGCCGCGCCCGATCCTCGGTCCAGAGTCCGTCGCAAAAGACCGTTTTGACCAAGTACTTGCCTTGGGCATTCAGTCCTATGCCTCGGAGTCTAGGCTGAGTGATACGTCGCAGCGGCTCGACGCAGACGCGATCTCCTACAGGCCATCCGAGCTTCTGTCCCAGGACCCGCTCGTGGTGTCGTTGCACCCCTTCTTTCAAGAGCGCGGAGATCATGGCAGGGGAGTTGTAAAGCAGACTCAACTCGACTCCCCTATCGTCGACCCACATCAAAAACGAAGTCGATTTCCACCCGATGCGGAAAAGCGACAACATCATCCGACTGATAGGACCCCTCGTCTTCCCCCATTTCCACCCCTCGATTCCTTCCTGGGAGATGGAGTCCCACATGCTGCGAAGCTGGGGCAGCGTGAAACTGGCCGTGCACGGCGCCGTCGTGGTGCTCCACGCAGCGGCTGCCCAAGCGAGCGCAGGAGCGACCATGCTCCTCCACATCGGATCGCCTAACAGAGCTGTCTTGGCAGTGAGTGAAACCCCTCCATGACGCGGCGCCTGATAGGAAAGCATCACCCCTTGCGCACGCTTAAGTTCAGCGTCAGACATGCCAGTCACCGTATCTCCAAAACTGACCGCGGGCTTAACGCCAGCGGTGTAAATCTTACCGATTCTATATTTGTCCTCGGCAGAGCTTTCCTATACCTCTGGAGCCTTCGGTGTCTGCGAATCATGCCCGCAACTCGGGCCTTGCGTTTGCCAAGAGCTTGTTTGGTGCTGCGTTTCACCCCCGGTGCTAAATCGACCCCGAGCGAGACCACGTGGGCCCCGACCGTCCCAGCCAGCGTTCCGAGCCTGCGTCCAACTCGCAGCGACAAGTCGGGGGTGGAGCCAAAGGTCATGAGTTTATCGGGGGCCAAACCAACACCTAAATCTTCCTTAAAGACACGTTCCAGGTCCTCAGCTGCCTGGCCGAGAACTTGGACCACATGGTCCGCCGCGCCGTGCGCGCTGACGGTGTCGTCGTCGACGTGCGAAGCAAGGTCAACAGCAGGATTCCTGGCAACGAAACCGTCGAACGGGACCATAGCATAAACTTTAACGTTGATATCATTCAGGCAGGATCCTGCTGGCAACCCACACTTCGCGCACATCGGAGAGAGGCTGTGGTCCGAGCCAAGCCGCAAAACCCGAGGCCCGCGCCAAAAATTGTAGGTCACCTTGACCACGATAGGGTTAAGGCCCGCCTGCAGGGAGCGATCCCTAAGCGTGGTGAGCCTGAACGATTCATAATACTTGGTGCCATCCCAAGAAAAACCTCCCGTGACACCCCCTTCGGCCACTTGGGCCTCCGCTTTGACCGCCTGCTTCCAAATTTCAGCCTCCGCCGACTTCCCCGCCCCAAACGCCCAATACTTGCGCGGGTGCGCGTCGCAATACGGGAGCAGCTGCGGTCGCTGAGCTTTTCCCACAGGCGAACAGGAGAGGCACAGAGCAGGACAGGACGCAAACCCCCTTTTGGCTTCTCGAGGAGGGGGAGAAGCATCCAATACAGGGCCTTCGGGTAGACCCCGATCTTTTCAACAGTTTGAAACAGGCAACTGAGCACTTCGAGCCCCGCGTCGGGGAGCAAGCTGAAGTGCCGCGCATATACCGTCAAGTGACTGCGCAGTGTGTGGTGAGAACCCTCTACTGGCAGCTCGAATGTCATCGGGCTTGAGCCTGTCGAAACAATTTCTGTCCCAAACCTCCAGAGGTTCTGGCATGGACGTCGCTTCCCAGAATTTACCTAACACGTTGGCTTCATTCGCGAGCAGCTTACGCGGGCCGGCCGAATAAATCCCAGGAGCCGTTTCAATCACGGTCGGCATCCAAGCGCTTTTGTTCCGAGTGAGTTTACGCATCTTGCGAGCTGATCCCGATAGGGCTTCCGTCTGCCACTGGTCCCAGCTCACCTTAGCTTTATTGTCGAGGCCAGCGCGCGCTTCGGCAAAATCCTCCTCCCAATCATCAAGCGCTTCGGTGCATCGATCTATCCACCCAGACAGATTTGCCGCTCGCTGAGGCCAAGACTCCGCCAGACGGCATGCCGCTTGCACAGTAGTGTCGAGCCGTACAGCTCGGCCTTCAGCTTCAGAAGGCTGCTGAACTATCTGCACTAAGTTCCTGCAGGCCTCGAGCTCGGCGTGGTCGACGAGGTCGGCCTCATAAATACGAATACTGGTCTGTTGAAGGTCTCGCATGGTGTGCTGAAGCCAAATCCACCCTTCCCAGACTAAAACCTCCTCCTCGACCTTCCTCTTCGGGGGGGGGAGACAACCGAAACCCACTTAGCACACAAAGGCTTGCCCCTGCCCCCATCTGGACTTTAAAGTCACACCCATCAGATTTTCGAGCTCAACTTCCATGACATCCGAAAATCGTTTCCAGGCCTCATTCAGCAGAGCCCAAGCAAGCGTGACAGAAGCACTGCTGGCGCACGTGTTGGCCTCCTCGGCCAAAGTCCTGGCTAATCTCCAATCCTGGGGTTTTGGTGACGGACCAAAAGGGGCCTCACAGGGAATACGTTGGTGGGTATGATAAACAAGCTGTTTGAGTTTTATCGCACCTTGCTTAAAGATAAGCTGCACTGGCCGATGAGGTCGCTTGGGCCAGTTCTTCACAACATCGGTCTTGTCGACCATCTTGGCTACCGCTGGGGACACAGCGAAGAAATCGATCCGCGAGTGGGCCTTCGCCGTCACACAGGTTTCGATCTTCGGCTGGAGGATCAACATATCAGCTTTCCTCAGTAACCCCGTAAACTCGATAATCGTCGGCCCCAGGTTCCAATCAGCCCCGAAGATGGCCATGTGGGTCCCCTGTAGCGTTTCCCCGATCAGTTTGAGCAGCTCGAGGTTTCGCTTCGACAGCCCCTCAGTGGTGCACAAATAAGCACAGCCAGCCAAAATCGGCGGCCACCCTGGTATGTCTAACATCGCAAAAAGGAGACGGTGTTCGACGAGTACCCCTCGCGGTAGGTGTGGAGGCCAACGAAGTCCGATACTCGTCCTGGCAACAATCGCTACTCCAGCCGACGTCTGCCCCGCATCGCAGGGTACAGAAGGTGTGCAGAGCATATGCCATCCCATACCAAGAGCTTTTGCAGTCTTGTCACCCACATCTCCGGCCGTGATCCCGATCTCCTGGGCGAGCAGAACCAAGGCTGAGCTCCGCGCAAGACGTTCCGAGAGCGTGCCCCAGCTGTTACCGTTATAGGACTCGCACACAAACTGGAAGTTGTCTGCCGTGGGGTCGTCGGCAATCGGAGTTGGCGGACAGCCTGACCCCATGGCCGAAATCTTGAAACCAGTGCACAGCGGCTGGCCTGCGAACGGGGCCAGACTCGAATGCTTAACGTGATCTCGGTCCCTCCCATGATACGCGCCTCTGAGTTCGTCACTCGAGACGCCCGAAGGGAGGATCCGCTCCTGGTGTGAAAAGGTGCCGTCGGCGAGCTCCGCTCGCCGAAGGCTGCTGCTGTCGTGCCGCTGCACTCCCGAAGAAGTGCTCAGAACACGACGTCCATGTAGTGCATCATGATGTGCGCCGTCAAAGATGCCCTGGAGCTGGTGGCGCCGCCGTCGGTACTGTTCCCGTTGAAGGCGCAGCTCCTGGCGAGAGCACCCGAACCTTCTTGAACTTGGCGGCCACCAGCGCTTGCACGATAACCCGTTTATCACCTCGGTGCTGCTCCCAGAAACTTTCAGCCTCTGCGGTGGACACGAAAGCATCATCCATTTGAGCATCACCAGAACCATCACCCGCAGCTTCAGTACGCGGCTCCTGCTTCGTCCTGGACTGGGAGTAGAGCTGCGTGAACTGCTTGAAAGCGTCCGTCTGGATGAGCGTTTTGACTTCGTCTTTGCCTTCCAGGAGATGGTCAGGAATAGTGAAATCAAAATCGCCACCACCAGTGACCAGAGGAGACTGCTTGAGCTGGCCCCTGATATCGTCGATCTCGGCCTTGAGCACGATCTGCTTCGCCTGAAGCTCGTCCCTCTTGGCCGTAGCATCCTTGATAGCCTTCTCTTGCTCCTCGGCTTCCTCGACTGCCTTTTTGAGTTGACTCTCCTTGCGCGCCAGCTTGTGACCCAAGTTGGTGTGCTGCGTAGGGTCACTCTTCTGGCCTTCGATCTGCTTGCGTACATCACGGAGTTGAGCCTCAAGAGACTTGCGGGCTTCCTCCATGTACTCACTCTTGCATGCTTTGATAGCCGTTTCCAACTCATTGGCCTTGGCGACCAAGGCATCAGGTTTCTCATCTTTATCATCAGCGCCACTTCCCCTCCCACCACCGTGACCGTTGGACGGGGCGTCCTTGGTGGGCGGGGTTTGCTTGGTGAGCTGATCCAACTGCTTCTGCATGGCGGCAAGCGTCTTGGCGAGTCCGACATCCTTGGGCTGCCCACGCGGAGCACCACCGCCACCACGAGCAGGAGGGCTGCCACCACCAAACGACTTGGCGCGCTGAAGGACGTGTGCTGGTGCCACTTCGCCGCAGCGGCACTTGAGGCGACACGCCCAGTTACTCGTTCTTCCACAGGACTGACATCCCCAGAGAGGAAGTTTCGGTCCTTTGACCATGTCATTGTTCATCGGTGCTCCTCCAGGAGCTCACTGGAAGAGAATCACTGTCGTACCGAGCCAAAAAGACTCGCACCAGCTGCTGCCGCTCTGAAGAAAGCTGGTGCAAGCCCAAAAACTTGGGCCAGAACGGCTTGGAGAAGGAGGAGGAGGAGGAGGAGGAGGAGGAGGAGGAGGAGGAGGAGCAGGAGGAGGAGGAGGAGGAGGAGGAGGAGGAGGAGGAGCTCCCCATCCTCCCTTCTCCACTGTCCTACTTGTGCTGGTGGTGGTGGAACACTTGGCCCGACAGGAGGGCAGCGCTCGCGCGGCTCAGCCAATCGTCTCCGAGTCCCGCCGGCCGACCTGGGACCGGGACCCGCTCGTGGTGCCGCCACGCCCCCCTCTAGGCCTCCCAGATGGGGTCGCAGTAGATCAGGAGCGGAAAAAGGACGTACATGTACATGAATCCACGCTGGTTTCGAGAGTTCACATTGCGCAAATGTTCGTATAACGCGGCCGGTCTTACGGATCGAGGGGCCGTGTTCATGTACATAGCTGGGCGCGTACGTCCTTTGTGGGCTCCCTAGTAGATGGGGTCGGAGGATCGCGCCGCATTGCCGATGCATCGCCGACGCATCGCATCGGCGATGCGGCTCGATGTGGAGCCCGACCCGTATCCACGCCGACGTCGCCCATGCACCACCGACGTGGCCGATGCGTCGGCGATGCAGCGGCGATGCGGTGCAGTTGCAATCCCCCGGCCCCATCTACTCGGACTCCATCCAGGGGGCCTGAGGCCCCCCTTCCCTCCCTCCGCGGGCCCTGGTCTGGGAGCCGCCGCGTGGCCCGGCCCAGGCTCGCAGCATGGCCCTGGCCGACCCGCGTCGGCGCGTCTCCGAGATGTGCGCGGGAGGAGGAAGTCCGAGGAGGAGGAGGGCACTCCAGATTTCGTAAGAAAAGGAAGGGGGTCACAACCCTCCCAGCCGAGAAGTTCCAGACCATCCATGAAATGGCGGCCCTTTGCCCAGACCCCCCCGAACCCTCCAAGACAGCTCAGATCAGACACCCCCCAAATGTGACCCCCCCCCCCCACTTGATTGTGGAATCCGGAGTTCCCAGACTGCTGCCCTTCCACCGTTTTCCTTCTGTTGGGGCCTCCAGGCCCTTGCCGCCACCGCTGGACTCGCCGGGAAATTCTGGTCAGGACGCAGCCCGGGAGAGGTCCTGGGAAGAGCGCTATCGGCACCGCTTGGTTTCCCCAGACCTGGCCGTGGCTGACCCGGGTCGGCATGTTCCCGAGAGAAGCGTGGGGGGGAAAATGATGCACCTCCAGCATTTTTCGGAGTCAGGGTGTCCGTTCAGGGGCCCGTGAGGGCCCGTTCTGGGCCGCCTCCTGGCGCCCCGGTTGCCAGCGTTTGGACTGCCCCTTGTTGCCTTCCGCTCGAGAGCACGAGTGGAAGACCTGTGCCTTGACGTGTTCTGACCTGTTGGGGCGCCAGGAGTCTCCTCGTCACCATGGCTGGATCCGCCGCGACACGTGGGCCAGCAAGCAACCTGGGACAGGTCTTGGGGTCGACCCTCTGGACGGCCGAGCCCGGGCCCCCTCGCGTCGTGAGTTACGCCGCTGCGGGAGGCTTTCTTCGGGTGTTGTTTTTACGGGCCTCCGGGGTGGCAATCGAAGAAGGACAACTGCCACAAACATACACTTTGGGCGCTCCGCGCGGATTTCTTGCATCCGCACTGGGGCCCCCTGGCGGCGCCTCCGGCGCCGCCCCTGGTGTTTCGCGCGCCAGGGAGGGGGGTCCAGCGCAGATCCAAGAAATCCGCACGCAGCGCCAAACGTTTATGTTTGTGGCGTTTGTTTTTCTTCTAGACAAGCTGGTCCAGGGAAGAGGTCCAGACTCTCAGGTCGTGAAAGCGTCACGACGTCGTGGCCAAGGTTCCAGCGGGCCCTGGTGTGTCGAACGGCCGCCCACATCGGGCCAGAGTATATGGGGCTAGAGGGACGCACCGCATCTAAGAGTCGAGGAGGAGGAAGAGGAGGAGGAGGAGGAGGAAAAGGAGGAGGAACAGGAGGAGCAGCGTCAATGTTTTTTTCCAACCATCCAGTGTTGTTGGGTCCTCTGTTTGAATTCGCATCGCCGCGCGTCCTCCTCTCCTTCTTCTCCCCCTCCTCCTTACTCCAATGCTCCCACTCCCCCAGACCCCTCACGCGTTTCGCGGCCTCATAAGGAGCAGCTCCACCAATGGCCCAGTGGGGGAATCCTGTTTTCGCGCCCTTATCAGGAGCTCCACCAAAGGCCCAGTGGGGAAATTCCGCATGCCGCTCTTTGGCGGCTCTGGCACACCCCTCCCAAGGTTCGTGGCAACATAGCGACCTCCCTGAGGCTCTCCGGGGGGTTCTCCTGGGGGCCTCTCGGGGGCCTCTCGAGGACCTGCTGGCTGCCTTGGCTCGACGAGCTCTCCAAACGAAGGCGGCGACGATGCGTGTTCAGCCGCCCCCAGCGCCGAGGAGGAGACGCTGCCCGTCCCCCTGTGCGCCAACGGTCTGACCAACGCCAGGGGACAGCACGGGTGAGGGCAGGCAAAATGCCCCGCCCTCCTTGCAGGCCAGGGGGCATGGGAGGGAGAGGGGGCTGAGCCGGGTGATTTGGGAGGGAGGGAGGGAGGAGAGGGGGGATCAGGCGTGATTTGGGAGGGAGGGAGGGAGGATGGGGGGGGATCAGGGGTCGGAGGGATTCTGGCATGCCCCCACCTCCTCGACACCGTCTGGGGGGCCCCCGGCAGCGGGGGGGGCCCTCGTCGCCGCGGCCCGGCCCGCCTCGGGATCATCTGGCCGCGGCGCGCCCTGCGAGGCGTGCGGAGGCGGGTGCCGAGGAGGAGCAGCCCGGACCTCCTGGCAGGTGGATTTTCGTGGTCTCGTGCATCGGGGGCGGAAATGAGGGGGGTGATGACTAGGGGGGGGTGGATATCATGGTGGGGGCCATGATGTTTCCCCAGATTTCATGGCGCCTCTTCTTATTTCATTCCGTCCCTGGCCCCCCCACTGGGCCGCGCACATGCCGCCGGTCATGATTTGCAACCCCCCTCTTGGACGCCCCCTCCTTGGCCGCTCCCAACATGCCGACGCGGCTGCTGCCCCGCGGGCTTTCAGGCCGAATGCCGCCAGTGGCCCAGCATCGGCCAGCAGGGAACGACCCAGCGCCTCGAACCGCCGCCGGTCGTGCAGAGGTGGGATAGTGCCGCGCGGTGTCAGGAGCCAGCGCCCGGGGTCGTCACGACACGAGCCTGGCGTGCGCAGGGTGCCCTTTGCCGTGACCCCGAGGTGACCTGGAGCGCCACCTCGCGCCCTGCCGATGCCTGCGAGCGGCCGCCTTTTGCGGGGCGGTGCACCGTACCTTCTCCACGTCAACGGCCGTAGAGACTCGCGCATCGGCTCGCGTTTTAAGCACTGATGTTGTTTTGGGCAGTTCGCCCCCCTTGACCGTAACCTGCTCACCCCTCTCTTCACCGACCCCACCCCGTCTCAGTTGCGTAGATCCTTGCATGGGCCATACCGGATGCCACGGCCTACCCGTCTGCTGACGCTGAGCAGAGGGGAGACTTGTGCTGTGGTTCGCCGCACAGTTCGACTTGATTCGTCGCGGTGACGTCGGCGTCTCTCTCGCGCTTAGGAACTGTGCGGTGGCGTTGAGCCCTGCCACCCTCGTGCGGGCGGCTTTCTGTGAAGCGCGTTGCCTCGACCTACATTGGCCGTGCCACATTGCGCTGTGACAAAGGAAGAGCGCACTGCGCCTGATTGCCTCTGCGGCGGGGGTGCTGGGCCAGGATGAGGCGGGGCCTCCCTCCTTCCACCTCTCCCTCCCTCCCTCCTTTCTCCTCCCTCCTCTTCCTCTCCCTCCCTCCTCCTTCCGTCCTGCTCCTTCAAGCAGAAGTCAACCCAAAACCGTGATCTCCTTCTTGCTCTGACAGCGTCGACGACGACGGCGGTCGAGAACGGCGTCGACGACGGCAGCGGCGACGGCGACGGCGACGAGTGCGCACGATGGCCCGCCATGTCCCGCAGTGTGCCAGAAAAGTGTGCCATCAAAGTGTGCCCGCAGCGCCTCCGAGCCCCTCAGTGTGATTCGGCGACGTCCGTGTTCCACTGTTCCCCGCGGCGCGGTGGACGTTGCAGTCAAAACTTATGGGGTAAGGTTCACTCTGGTTTCGGAAAGGGGCCATATGTTCTTAAGGTCATTCCATGGGTTCGCCCTTTGGTGTTCCTCCTGCATCTGGGCGCAACTGGGGCCTAAGTGGACTTCGTTCCTGATCCAACATTCCTCGTGGCGGAACTTCGACCGCTCGAGGATCCAGGCTCGGGGGCGCCCTCCCCCCCCCCTTGCCTCCCAGCCTCCCTCCCCCTTCCCCGCGAGCCCGCCTCCCCGAACCCGCCCCGGTCCTGGAGCGCGCTCCGACCAGGATATCCCGCGGCGAGCCCAGCCGTGGCGCGACGAGACCCCGAGGCGGCCCAGCGGAGGCGAGGCAAGCAGGAGATCCCCCGTCCCCCTCCCCCACCCTCTCTTTCCGGGAGGGAGGGCGGGGGAGGGAGAAAGGGGGATCTTTTGTCTGCCTCTCTCTCTCTCTGTATCTCTCTCTTCTCTTTCTCTTACTCTTCTCTCTCTATCTCTCTCTCTCTCTCTCTCTCCCTCCCTCCCTCCCTCCCTCCTTCCCTCCCTCCCTTGCACGGTCCATCGAACAGACTTTTGAATGACGTCTTAAAAACATGATAACCAATGCAAAGCGACCGCCGTAATCGCCAACACAATCCGCAACACATCACACATAACCACCAACATAATTTGCTACAAGCAACACATAACCGCCAACATAACTTGCTACAAGCTGCACATAATCGCCAACATAACTTGCTACAAACTACACATAATCGCCAACATAACTTGCTACAAGTACAGCATCGTTGCCAACATAATCTGCTACATGTTATGGCACAAGAAACACATTATCATCTACAAGTAGCAAGTGCTCGACTGATTCGTCTCGACGAGGGTGGAACGAAACAAAATGCAGTAGAGTAGACCCATGGGGCACATTGAATAAAGGCCGTGGCTTTCACCCCTACTGCTCCTACCGCCATCCGTCCTCCTCCACTTCCTTCCTCCATCCCGTAACCATTTTGGCTCAAACGTTTCCTGGGCGGGTCAGTTTCGTTGATTGATATGGATTTCTTGGACGATTTCCTCGGCGAAGTGCATGCACCCGCCGACGGCTGCGTCGCTGTTGTAGCCGCTGCTGACGGCGACGCCGGCAACGCCCAAGGCGATGCCGCCGATGTCGACGATTTCCTCGGCGACATGATCGGCCTTGCGCCGCCAGCTTCGCCGTCGGGCGATGGCGCTGGCGCGATCGTGCCGCGCATGGCGCCCAGGAAGGCGAAGGACCAGTGTTGGGGAAATTCGCGGGCCCTCACGCCGGAACAGAAAGCTTACCGAGCATCTCGCATGCGCGAGATGAAAAGTATCAAAGCACGGAATGCCCTCAAAGCAGGAGCTCACATTACAACAAAAGCTGTGGTAGAAAGCATTGCGGCCAAAACCAACGTGAGGGCATCGGTCAGAGCACCCTCGGCGAGAGAGTTCGGTTCCATCGTCAGGAAAGCAGCGGCGGCAAATGGCGATGGCGATGCAGAAGTTCAAAACAAAATAGTAGTTGGATACGTGAGACTCATCTCGAGGGCTGGGCGAGCATTGTCTATGGGGCCAGGTCAGATCATAGATACAGTGTTCCTTGAAGGCCGTGGTAATTTGAAAGCTGCAGTGCTCCGGTGCTCCAAATCAACTATTCGGCGTTTGGAGTCGGCGGTTGCGACCATTGTCATGAGGTTCCAGAACATTGTTTTGTGCCAGAGCCTCGCGTACGACTCGCGCCCGTCGTGGGCAGTATGCCATCTCAGTTGGGATGAGACTGGCGAGAGGCTGGTGGTCGATGAGCTCGGTAAAGTTGCGGAGGTGAGAGGGGGGTGAACCCCCAAATCCCCCTTGCACCCACCATAACCCCAGAATCCAGAATCCCAGAATCCCCCCATCTACCCTAACCCCCGTGAAGACCGTCATAACTCAGAACTTCCCGTAGTTCAGGGCACGCCCCTACCCGCCCCTCCTCCCCCCTGCCTTCCATCCCCATCGTTCTCCGCATATGCCTCCTCATTTTTGCAGAAGTTTCCGGCCTCCGATAAGCCGACGAGGTGAGTAATTGGTCGAAGAGTTTGTCGGCGCAGACGTCGTCTTGGCAAGTGCTGGTGGCAAGGATTAGCTTTATGTGGGGCTTTGGAGACGGCAGTAGGCATCATTTCTCATGTATTGTTCCGCCGATACCGATACCGACGGTATCTGCAGAGGCATTGTGGGCGGGCCTTTTCCATCACCCATCGGTCAAGGAATTCTTGCAGCACTGGGGTGAGTTCTTCGCGCTTCGCGTATCTCCGCCAGCCCATCCATCCAAGAACGACTACCAGGCGAGTTGCCCAGATCAGGGATGCATAGCCGCATGTAGCGCAACGCGTGGGGGCCACCCGATATTTTTGGAAACGGGAGGACGGGCGAGGAAGCGGATGGGGAACAGTGACAGTATGTGATAGTATTGGAGGCATGTTGGAGGCTATCTCAAACCATCTGGGGTATATTGGGCGGTCTTTGAGGCCACGTGGAGCTCTCTGGGGCCTTTTCGGAACCATGTTGGGTCATCCTGGACGCTCCACGCTTTCGCGGAACAGGGCAGGACGAGCTCCCTAGACCACTCGCGCCCTTAAGGGCTGGTGGGATTGTCGTCTAGGGTTACATTAGCCCTCGATCTCGCATCGACGGACGACGCCTCGGGCAACGACCGCGTCTGGAGCCACTTCGAAAACACATCGGGCTCGTTGTGTGCACGGATGCTCTGCCGCAGTCACCAAACGAATCTTGTGATGACGACGTTGTACACAGCAATTGGCATGGCTTTGATGCACTCGCTGTTTTCAGCTACGATGTTTCTTCGCATGTCAACATACTTCTTCAGGTGCGCGCTGTCCATCCCAAGCTTTATTCGCAGAACGTTCGGATTTTATATCAAGGGGGCGCCAGACTGCCCCGATGTAACACCAGCTGGCGATCAATTGCGTTCAGAGATGGCAAGCTATTTGAAGTCGCTAAGCTTCCGGGAGCGGATCGAACACGACAGTCGCGAGCACGGAGATCAGGATGAACAAATCAATGCTCATATCAAACGAGTGGATTCGTTTTTCGCTTTCTTCAATGGCCCATTGTGGCGAAAGGGCTTGGTGCACATATGCGACGGCCCAGGGTGTTGCCAGAGTCGCGCTCAGAGCACCATGAAGGCGATTACCACCGTCGGGTTCGCACTGCACACCAAGCCTCTGGCACCCGTCCTATCGAGATGGACGAAGGTAGGGCCATGTTTAGACTTCTGGGTTTGGTCATTCTCACACGGATTCTTCCAGGACCTCTTAAAGAAGGCAGTCGGCAACATCAGTTTCGAAAGTAATAGGCGATCAGACGCGGATGAGGGCGACGACTGTGACAAAAACGATTTCCAGGCAGTGTGTGGGATCAGATGGAAAAAAACACAAACGTTGCTCGATTCCAAAATGGACCGCATGCGCATCGTCTTGTTAGCCGTCGTGATGGAACCGCTACGTCATCTTCACTTGTATTTATTGGGCGTGAGTAGAACCGTTATTGATTCTAGACGCTTCGCGTATCCCCGCAGCCCATCCAGAGACGACGCCCAGGCGAGTTGAGGTGATCATATGTGATCAGGGAAGTGCGGGAGCCAGATGGGGACTAGGAGGAGGAGGAGGAGGAGGGCGATAAGGCACGCAGAAGAGAGAGGTCGAGGGATCAATGGAAGTGGGAAACAAATCGCATTTTCGGCCCACTAACTCATTTAGGCTATCTTGAGGCATCTTAGGCTATCTTGAGGCATATTGGAGGTCATATTGGGCTTTCCGAGGCGCTCCTGGAACCATCCTGGGCCATCTTGGATGATCCAACGCGTCGCGGCCCCCCCGTCCAGGTCCGGGGGATGGGGATAGGCGGGTAGGGGGGGGGGGGTAAAACCTTCCCCGACGGGGAAGAAAGGGGTTGGAAGAGGAAGCGCTCTAAACCACCTACGCCCGGAAGGTTGGTGGGATTTCAAACGCGTGCCTGCGATTTGTGATCTGCTTGACCCGTCGAGGTCAATCGTCGTGGCAATCATGCAGTATTACAGCACCCTCTTGCGCGGTACTGCCCCGCGGCTGGCGCTCCTGTGGAGATTATTCGAGGTTGCCAGGGCGTCGAGACACGACGTGCGTTGATGCGTTTCAGCCCTCCACCTTTGGGCCCTCGAGGGCTAGGAGGGGCAAGGGGGATGGGGGTGGGGGAGGGGGTAGGAGTCCAGGAGGGGGGGAAGGGGTTCGCGGGCTGTCGGGGGAAGGGGGCCACGCATCAATTTGCGCGCTGTGTCTCGGCGATCGCGTTGACCAGGCCGGTTCCTTCGCTGAGTGGCGAAGGTTTCATCCAGAGTGCGCTCGCTTATTACGCAAGTGCGTATTGCTGGCGGCTGGCGCCGTATTTTGGAGACACGAGGCCCTCATCCTCCACGTCCTACAGAGTCCTACATCCTCCTCCTCCTCCTCCTCTTCCTCCTCCTCCTCCTCCTCCTCCTCCTCCTCCCCCTCCCTCCTCATCCCTCCTCATCCCTCCTCCTCCCTCCTCCTCCTCCCTCCCCCTCCCT